TGGCCCCCCCCCCACTGTGTCCAGCTGTCACCCGGAGGCCTCACCTGCTGGGCCTCAGCAAACTCCAGTCCCCGAGACCCACTGCCACTGCCCACCACACAGCCCAGGACAGGAAGCGCCGGGCACGTGGCTGCAGACCTCGCGGAGCCAGGCCGTGGCCCCACTGGCTCCCATGCACTTGACCAAGACGGCCCTTTGGGTCCATGGACCCGGGTGCAAAGCTGGTCGGTCGCAGCCAAGGACACGACACAGGCCCGTTCTCTGTGGCTCAGCCCGAGCCTCTGGCTCCCACGATCGCGAGGCTCAGCCTTTCACCTGAGCGGACCGGCCAGGCCGGTGGCGTGAGCTCACCTATGACGTTCCGGATGTCGTCCTCCTCCGGGTGCAGGGTGGGGCTGGCGGAGGCTGTGCCCGCAGCAGGCGCAGCCTTCTCCAGGGAGTCTGTCCTGGCTGTGGTGGGAGGCACTGGGGGCGAGTGTGTGTCCCCAGGAGCCACCGGCAGGGCAGCTGGGGCTGGATGAGGGGGGATGGCCGTGTGGGCCGCGGTGGTGGCTGAGGCCCGTGTGGGAGGTGGGAGGAGTGCCTCTCCCCCGGGGGCTGGAGGGACGGTGGCTGGCAGTGGTGTGGGGACTGGCTGGGCAGAGGCAGAGGCGGCAGAGACAGGCCTGCGGGGCACAGTGGGCAGCAGGCTGTTGTGTCTCAGCAGCTGGTCCTCAATCAGCAAGTCCACTCCACTGTCACCACTGAAGAACTGGTCCTCTGGGGAGCAAACAGGCTCGCGTGACTCGGAGAGAATGGCCAGCGCAGGACCCAGAGCGGACAACCCGTGGCGGGTAGATAAGAAGGTTTCTTCCCCCAGAACGATGCACTGAGTCAGGGATGGGCGCTTAGAGGAAGGCAGAAGGGGGCATAGAGCGAAGGCCCTGGCCGACAGGCTTTCCCCAGGACCCGGGCCCCACCCATCCGTCCACTCATCTGTGTTTATGGCACAGACAACGGTGAGTGGAGTAAGGTCCTTGCCCCCCAGAGCCACCGAATGAAGGACACACGGACAGTAGACACGGGCCGTGCACATGGCAGTGTACGGAGAGAAGCTGGTGAGTGGAGAGGGTCCGGGAGCAGCGGCGGGGGACCTGCGTGATGGGTACAGTGGTCAGCTCTACTCGCTGGAAGGGAGATGAGCAGAGGCCTGAGGACGTGAGGGAGCCGAGCAGCTGCAAGGAAGAGTGCTCTGGGGGAAACAGCAGCCGTGCAAAGGCCCTGGGGCCGGAACATGCCTGCGAGGCCGATGTGGACAAAGAGGAGGGTTCGAGGTGGGGGTAGCAGGAGGTGAGGGCAGAGGGATGGGGGAGCCGGTGGTGGGGGCTTGGGTGCTGCACGTGGGCTTCAGTTGTTATCCTGAGTGAAACGGGCGCGTGAGCAGGGTTTGAGTAGAGAAGGAAGGTAGGAGGCAGCGTTCCTGGGACTGGAGGTGTGGCCTCATGGAACCGGTGCGTGAGCTCATCGAGGCACCGAGGTGCAGGCCGCAGGCAGTGAGGCGGCATCGCCGCTCACGTGACTGACAAGGCACTTGTCCCCAAATACGCCAGCCTCCCCACATCAATGATAAAAAGACAGCAGTTAAAAATGGGCAAAGGGATGATGACAGCAACTGGGTAAGCAGAGCTGGGGACGAGCCGGACTGGACCCTTCGGGGTGTGGGAAGGGGAGGTCGGGGGAGGGGCCTAGGGTTCAGGAAGCAGGAGAGACCGGGGACAGCCAGGGCTTCTGGGAGTCAGAGGCGGGAGCGCCGCGTCTCAGGCAGGCCAGGCTCGGGGAAGGGCAGGCAGGAGAGTGACTCCTCGCTGCCACGTGGTCTTCCGAAAGCCTGTGAGGTCCGGGACCTGCCCACGGCCCAGGGGGACACACTTCTCGGGGGACACGGCTTCTCGGGGGACACGCTTCTCGGGGGACACGGCTTCTCGGGGGACACGGCTTCTGGGGGACATGGCTTCTGGGGGACAGGGCCTCTG